TTCTCTGCAAACCTCTCCTGACTATAACAGATGTATAGGGGCCCCAAAGCAGCCCAGCCTCTTAGCCATGAACTTCCCAGAAACTCATTGAGGTTCCCTTGAAAGTAGGTGAAAAGTTAATTATCAGGATTTGGTATAAACACACAAACCAGGGCCAAGGAAGGAAGGCAGCTAGTTCCTTATAGCTGGTTGAACTCCTTCAGGATTTGTGCATGCACACACACACACACACACAGGCACACACATCATACCTAACAAATACGGTCATATTTATAGACCTGCCGAGGAAAATGTACCCCATTCCTTGGTGCTTATTTCCACTCAAATTCAATGACATATGTCCATATATCTGGCACACACACATGACTTTCAATGAGGTGCTTTATCAATATAATATATCCAGCCTCTCCCCTTTCCAAGCTCCTGACTGCAGGGTGGGCCCCAGTGAAGGTGAAGGAGAGAGGGTCTGAGTTTGAGCTGCATGTGTCACTAAGTGTGACTCTGACTACATGCCACAAACAAACAGAAATTGTTTATTCATTATTCACTATTTGGAATTATCCATTGTCTTTCAATTACCTCTATGCCATCAAGTTTCAATGATCATCTATCCCTCACTGAGTGGCTACTCCGTGCAGAGTATAGCTCAGGGAGGGGTTACCAGCACGAGCTTTGCTCAAACTCGGTACGAATCTTAGCTTCAGTACTCACTTTGCACAAATTACCTCACTGCACTTTGCACCTCTCTGAGCCTCAGTTTCAGCTTTTGTAAAGTGAGCATAACGATACTCAACTCCTACAACTTTTGTATTAAATAGGTGATTTTGTAAAGTGCTTGGAACAAAGCATAGGGCATAGTACTCAGTAAATGGGAGCTATTATTTTCATCATCACTCTGTGGGCATTGGAGATATAAAGAAGTAATACATAAAAGAGATGTTCTACTCCCGTAGGAGGTTTTTAAATCTCATCAACGAGGTAATATAAATACATGGAGAGAGGAAGAACATGGAAACCTAAAATTCTTCTTTGAACCCTAACATGCAACTTATTCTCCTAAATCTGAGATCTGATTACAATTTTTAGCTGATTTCAGTGCTCTAATGCTTTTTCTTTTGTCATTCATCATCCCCATGCCTCACCACCTTATATACACCCCACATCCACCCCACTCTTTCACTTAACAAGTTGACTAGAGATTTCTTGGGATAACAAAGATTTTGAGAGTTCATTGTGTACATTTCCCTCTTTCTGGGCAGAAGCCCATCTGAGGCATTCCACAGCCAAATGAGACAGCCATGCACACGGCCAGAGAGCCTGCACCCTCCCATGTCCCCCATCACCTTGCTAATCTCAGAATATTCTTCCTTATGTTCGATCTCAATCTGTTTTCCTTCAATATTGGCCTGTCTTTATCACTCATTCTGATTGGGGAGCAGGTACACTAAGCCTCAAAAGTGTAAGAAAATTCTCAAATGTCCACCTGGTAACATTGTTCCACTGCCTATCACTCCAGGTCTCTGGAATTATAGGTCTCATATAGTTCATTATTAACCCATGAAGAATCATTAAAAGATCTCTTAAAAAGCATTAATTTGGTCCCTATCAGGGTATAACTGCTCATGCAGTCATCTGGTCTCTCCTTAAAGCTTTTGCAAGATGAAAGTATCCTAATTTCCAGGACAGATACTTAAGAACTCCTATTTCAATCCCCCAACCTCCAGAGCCTCCTCAATTAGTATCATCACATTATCACTCATTTGATTAAGGGACAGTACAACCCCGAGTTGGGGCATGACTATTATGACCTCCCCAGTCCCTTTAAGGCCATCTATGAAGAAGGGGTAAGAGAATGGGCAGCAGTCTCCAACCATGAAATTCTTGTCCCAGGGGAGCCCTTGAAGACCAAGTAGGCTCCTGGGAGGGCACAACAGGCAGTGTCCCAAAGTGGGCAGAGTGCCAAAACCTGCCATAGTGAGCGGTATGGGAGGCCTGGAGACAAGAAGGAAGCCAATGCCTATACTTCTCCCTCTTCCCCAAATTCAACTCCCCCAGCCTAGGCTCATCCTCTCGTACTCCCAATTCCAAAGTTTTCAGACCTTCCAGAGTGTCCCTCTGAGACCAGACACCTATCATTGATCACCTCAGGCCAGTGCTTCTCCAACCTGAAAGAACATACAAATCACTTGGGAGCCGACTAAAAATGCAGATTCTGATTCAGTAGGTCTGGGTTGGGACCTAAGGATTTGCATTTCTGCAAGCTCCCAGGTAACACCCATGCTGCTAGAGCAAGGATCTAGATGACTGTAGCAGTTGCTACAAATGTCTCCCAGGAAGAGCCTATCTGTCCACATCCTTCTGTCTGTCTATCCTCCAGATGGCTGTGAGAATCATATCTCATCCCTTCTTGACTCAGGAATCTCATTCTATGCCACAATACACAATACAAACCTGGCTCATAAATTCCCTTCAAATGTGAAAAAACACATCCCTCACAAGACTCTCATTCTTTCATGACTCTTAAAGGTCCATGTGCCTAGAATTACTGTCCCATTTCTCTTCCAACTCACCTGTCTCTCTTTTATTTCCCAAATTGCACCATAAGCATCCATCCTCCAGGAAGTGTCCATTGACTAATACCTCTTTCTCAGTTTCTACTCATACGTTTCCTTCCAAAGTAATGATGCCTTAATCGCTATCCAGTTATTAATTCCTTCTATGTCAGTCCATTTCCCTCCCCATTTGGGGTGTACATTCTCTCTTACCAAGATATTTTAGATGCTCTCACAAGGTTTTTGCACCAGTCCTTCAAAGAAGCATCTAAAGGAGTATGTAAATATATGAGTAATCCTGCCTCTATCAGGCTTCCCTGGAGTCACCTACTCCCTGTTGGGAAAATAAGAAATTCCGCGAGTAAGAAAGTAGCTTCCTAGCCCTCCCTCCTAGGGCAGGCCCCATGCATAAATACAACAGAAAAAACACTGGCGCTTCTATTCCAACCATAGACTGCATCAAGAAAGATGCCTGTTGTGCCCACACTGGAGCCAGTCTCATCTTCTGGGGTTCCCTGGAGTCAGAGCAGGTTGGGCCTTCTATCAATTTCACTACTTCTGGCCCCTCCCCATATTCCATGGGAAGAGATGGAGCAGGACCAGTGGAGGTCATGTCAGGTACTCTCCTGCCCCAGGTCTGTATTTTTCCTGTTGCTCTTTGAATGAACAACACTGTTCTTAATGTTGGGTCTAGAGGAAGGAGAGAACCTACTCCTTGCTTTGAGCAAGATTCCACTCTGATGGAACAGACAGGATAGTCACCAGAACTCAGGCATAGGCACACAAAGGCAAAACTTGCGATAGCTCGGTACAGGTCTAGAGGCAGTTCTAGATTTAGTTCTGGATGGAGAGAAATTCTGTTTGTCAAGGAAGTTTCCCAGAAGATAGTTTTAAAGGAATACCATAGCCTTAGCCTGAAAGGAAGGAGAATTTTCTGTTTCAAAGAAATGTGTAAGGCTCAATTCAGTTGAACATGAATTTATTAAATGCTCATTATGTGCCTGGCCCCAGCTGGATGTTCTCAGCAGTAAACAAGACACACTCCTTACCTATGATTTACAATCATAAAGAAAATAAAGATACACAGATAACTGTGATATTTCATTTTTAAAATTTCAGCTTTATTGAGGTATAATTGACATATAAAATTGTAAGATATTTAATGAGTACATTGTGGTGATTTGATATACATATACATTGTGAAATGATTCACTCTGATATCCCCACTGGGAAAGGATTAATGGATGGTATTTTAATCTAAATGTCTCATTAAATGAAAGTAAATATTCAGAGCGCACCTTTGTTTCCTTCACTTAATCTTTACATTCTCAAGGTCTTCAGCTGGAACTTTGGTTTTCAATTGTGTTCCCTGGACCAGCAGTATCAGCCTTACCTGGGAACTTGTTAGAAGTACAAGTTCTGGGCGCCACCCTGACCTACTGAACTCCAAAGGCTGGGGGTGGGGCCCGGCAATCTGTTTTCACAAGCTCTCCAGGTGAGGTGGCACCTGCTGAAATTTGAGCACCCCTGAGCAAAGTGGTATTCCTAGACTCTGTCTTCACATCCCCCTTCACCATGACTTTGATTAGTGAGTTAAAGAGACAGCAATGAGCATACCCAGCTCAACCACTTTCACTTTTTTGTTGGGTTTCTTTTTTTATCCAGCATCAACTTAACCACAGGACACTAGATATATGTAAAAAGGTGTTAATATCCAAAGTATATAAAGAACGTATATAGCTCAACACCAAAAAAAAAAAAAACAAATAATCCAATAAAAACTGGACAGAGGGCTTGAATAAACATTTTCCAGACAAGACATACCAGATGGCTAACAGACACATGAAAAATGGTCAGCATCACTATTCATCAGGAAATGTATATTAGAACTACACTGAGATATCACTTTACACCTGACCGAGTGGCTAAAATAAAAAGGCAAGAAATGGCAAATGTTGATGAGGATGTAGAGAAAAACGAACCCTCATATACTGTCAGTGGGAATGTAAATTGTTGCTGCCATTATGGAAATCATTATGGAAGTTCCTCAGAAAATTAAAAATAAAACTACCATACTATCCAGTATTTTCACTACTGGATATTAACCGAACGAAAACAAAAACACTTTTTCTAGTTTCTTTTAATAATAACTTCTTAAAAACCCAGTATGCAGCACAGACACAATTGAAAAGTAGACCAAAAAAAAACCCAAAAAAACAAAAAAGGAGAAAGAGCAAAGACACATCCTTCATTTCACAATAAATACAGAGCCGTATTAGTGTTCTCCCACCAGCTACCCATGGGAAGCCAAGCTTTCCATGTGCTCAAAAGTACTCCATTATTGCAGGGGGCCAGACTACATTCAGCTGTGATAATGTCAACCCAATACAGACTGGCACTGCTGAGTTCACTGCTGAGTCTACAGTTTTGGACCTAACTGAAGTGGGGTTAAGGGACCAAGCTGTGCTGGATCCCATAGCCAAAGTAGATAGCAAACCCAATCAGCATCCAGACACCAAATCGGGCCCAGGTGGCAGCTGTCATCTGCATCATAAGGCAAACATTCACAAAGATGCTCAGGAGTGGGAGGAGAGGCACAGCAGGGACCTTAAACTGAAGGGGAGCAGAGCTCTGTGGCTGTCTCCAGATGACCCCAGTGATCCCAGTGATGAGCACCAGGAGCAGCACAACCACTGTGATCGGCGCTGGGTCTCCAGAGAGCAGACCTGGCCACTGGGCCAGCACCAGGCAGAGAAGAGTCAGCAGCAGAACAAGCAGTGAGGAGCAAACAACGACAACCCGGCCAGAGAGCGGAGTGGGGGTGGGGCTGCCTGGAAAGAATAGTCCCTGTAGAGTCAGGGCCTCAGCTGCAGGTCTGTTCCCCTCTTGCACCTGTGCTTCTTTTACCCCATTCCTCCTTTCAGGCTGATACCTGAGGATGAGAACACAAAGAGCCATCAGGGAGTAAGCTAGCAGGGCCCCAACTGACATGAGATCGAGAAGATCAGTGAGTCCAAAGAAGAATGCCATGATTCCTATGATAATGCCCAAGATTACAGTGGACACATTGGGCATGTATGTGCTGGTTTGGATTCTGGCAAGGACAGGGAACAGGAGGCCGTCCTGTGCCATCATGTATATCAGATTACGAATGGGGAACACAAAGCCAAAGATGCTGACAGAAAGACTACAGAGGAATACAAAAGTTACAATATAGTAGGCAGTTACCCAGCCAATATGGAGAAATGCCTCAGGCAAGGTGCTCCCAGGTCGAAGCTGGTAGTAAGGTACCATGAGTGTAAGTGCCGCAGAGACTCCAAAATACACCAAAAAGCAGATGAGCAGTGAAATCACAATTCCCATGGGGATGGAACGCCTGGGATTCTGGACTTCTTCAACTCTGGTAATAATAATGCTGAAACCAATAAATGCATAGAAACAGATAGCTACTCCACGGAGAATCCCCTTGAAGCCAAAAGGCATGAATCCTCCAGAGCCCAGAGGCCCCACGCTAGAGGTGCCATTGAGTCCAGCCTTTATGTAGTCCTCTTCCGTGAGCTTCCAGTTGTGCAGGTCCCCCTTCATGAAGCCAGAGATGATAACAAAACTGAGAACCAAAAGTTTCACCAATGTGAACACTTTGGAAACCAGGAAAATCCACCTATTCCTCAGTGTCAGCACTTCCATGAGCAACAACATAAGGCCCACAACAATGAAGCCTAGAATTTCTCCAAGGACCTGGAGAATATTCGGTGAGACGCTCTCATGCAGGGTCTGAGAGATCTGGTTCCCAAGCAGATTGTCAAAAGCTAAGGTCCAAGCCCGGGCCACAGTGGCTGAATGAGCAACAAAGAAGATGATAAGGTTCCAGCCGGTGATGAAAGCCCAGAGTTCACCCATAGTGACATAAGTGTAGAGATATGAAGAGCCAGCATAGGGAACCTGGACACCAAACTCTGCATAGCACAGCCCAGCCAATATAGAAGATAGGCTGGCTACCAACAAACAGATCACAATGGATGGTCCTGTTATATCTCTAGCCACCTCACCAGCCAGGACAAACACACCTACTCCCACTGTGCAGCCCACACCCAGTGCCACTAAATCCAGAGTGGTCAGTCTTCTGGCAGGGGCCATCTCATTCACGTCTTCCTCCAACATTCGTCTGCGTACCAGCTTTTGACAAATTCTGCGAAGGGCCTGACACAGCATTCTAGCTGGAAGTGAAGAGGATTCTAGGATCAGAGATCTGTAGCAAGCCCAGGAGTGGAGAGTCTGGGGTCAGGTTCAATGAGGCTGAGTTAAGCTGAGTTGGGTTGGGGCTGCCAAGTTCTGTTGCTCAGGCTTCAAATCTACTGTTTCATATTTTTTCTGTTCTGGGCTATCCCTCCATAATCCCTAAGTAAACAATAAATATTTACTGAACAATGGTGTTCAACCAAGCAACTAAAGCTCAGAAGTTGTTGCAGCACAAATATCATAGAAACTGACACCAAAGACATCAGAGGAAAATCAATATTGCCTTCCCTCCAGTAAAAGGGCCAATGGCTCCCAACATTCTGCTTTTTAACATACCACTTGATATATTCCAACTTGGGTTCATCTAACTCATGTAGCGTCATGTACTAATTAAGCTATAAGACAACAGGGCATGAATCACTGTAGAGTAATTCTCACATGGGATGTGTGAGGGGTGCTTGGGTGTGAGTTATGACAGGTTAATTCATGGACTGGTCAGCCTTGTTGCAATTACAGACCCATTTTGAAAATAACATCTGAGGTTAAAATATAAATTTGGACCCCCCAGTCATAAACCGATAGCCCCTACATCAGCCAGTCAAGGTCAGATGGCACTGTGACCCCTTTTCTCCTCAGTCTACATCATCCATTCAGCTGTGCTAATGGCCACACTTTCACTTTCCCCACCTAGGCCCACAGGGGCGCTGTGAACAGAGGGGAGGAGAGAGAAAGGGGCAGGGCCTTCATAACCACCTTCAAGAAGGAGAGGACCAGGCTGCCTGGGAAGGAAACACTGGAGAAATGGGGGCAACAGCCAACCCAGGGTCCATGACTGAGAAGGGAGAGGAGCCAGGAAAGTAGTCTTATGAATTCTGACATTTAATAAACCTCACCCAAAGCAGCCAGACAAAAATTAATTACAGTTTTTATATCCACAACTGTGAAGTGTGATGGGTAGGGAGAAAAGAAATGAGTCACCTAGCTCAGTAGTTCACAACCAAGACAATTCCTTCTGTCCCCTCCCTCTCTGGGTTCCAGGAGAGGAGGTGAGCGCACTTCTGCAGACAGTCTCCTCACCGGCCACACTGTGCTCTCTACACACCCTGAGCCATCTGGGACATCAGCTGCCAGGGCCTGGAGAATCTGCCCTGCTCTGTGAGCTTGTATTAAAGCACTCACTTGTAACTGTCTGTTAATTTTCACAAGGATTTATTTTTAACTGCCACAAACCATTGTCTGAATATATCAAATATATATATATTTTAATGAACAAACCCTGCATGTAGTATCTCCTACCTCCTCCTCTCCTGCTGCTATTCAAATTGTCCCCTCCATTTGAGAAAGGCTTTGCATGAACAACTCACAGCAAAGCCCCAGAAATGAGTAGTTGAAAACAGAGAACAAAATCATACAGCCCCCACTCTCCTCCCTACTCAGGCTTTGGTTTTGAGAGGATTTTAGGAAATGATGTCATAGGTTTTTAAAGACAGAAAGATCAAGTCAAAATTGAAAGGTGTGCTCTATAGATGATCAAAAGGAACCCTTGGGTTATGGGTCAGACCTTCTATCTACAAATCCATCTAGACTCCTTATTTGCCACCTACCAGTTCCAATGTTATTATTTACCAACAAGCATATGAGATAGGTAGGGAGGGTCAGTTCTTAACTCATGGATCCTTTCTACCCTATAAATGTGATTGAGGTGTCCCCCATCCATCCCCAGGCTTCAAACTGTTCAGTGGTTCCTCACTGCCCTTCCTTCATAATCCCTCCTTCCTTAATAATCTGACCTATGCTTATTCCTCCAGCCTCATCCTCTGCCCAGTTCCTGCTCCACCTGTGAAATTTGATACTCACCCTGTTCCCTTGCCTCTAATGCCCTCTTGGCCCCTTCACTTAGCTAACCCCCACTTCTCTTTCAGTTCCCAGGTCCGCTGATGCTTCCCCAGGAAGCTTCCCTTACACTGCCCTTCCCATGTGCTCTCCTAGCACTGGGCTTCACCATGTGCCACTGATCCTAATGTATCCAAATTCCAGGTCAGCTGCCTGTCTCCTCCATCAGACTGTGAGTTAGGTGCTCAATAAGTATTTGTTGAACAAATGACCAAACTGAGAAGAGATACTTGAAGGAGCACATAATCTAGGATTCCTATCTACTTGACTTTGAGATATAGACTTTTAGCCAAGCAGCCTTTACAAACCTGGATCAGGTAAAGATATAAATGGAATTATCTTCCAAGCAGAAGGTGAGCAAAATCAAAAGTATGGGGGGAAAACCAACTGTGATAAAATGTTGACCGCAGGGTGATAAAGAATTCTTAGCTTTGAGGACACTTGTTTAAACATATCAGGCTGCCTGGGGTTATAGACAACCAACCACCCATGCCCAGTTAGAGAATCTGTACCTTTTTGAAGGCATCATGTTCACGCCTTATAATCCAGGTAGGATGTCCTAAGGCAGAGGTTCTCACTTCCGGGGACAGAGGGAGGCCTAATGAAGACACCTGGGGAACATTTTCAAACTTCAGATCCTTTCCCTCTGGAGATTCTTGTCCACTAGCCCTGTACTTCCCATGACTGACTGCTCTAAACTACCTAACTGACAAGAAATTGTCCTTGTGTTCATGCGGAAGAGGTTATAAAATCCTCCCTCACAGAGAGAAGGCACAGTTGAGTAGTTAAGAGTAAGGTTCTACAGGTAGACTGTTCAGGTTCAAATCACACCTCAACCTCCCACCTGGTGACTCTGGACAAATTAGTTTTCCTCTTGGGGCTTTAATTTCCACAAGAGTCAAGTGGGAGTAAAAGTAAATCCCTCCTAGTTTAGTTGTGAGGAGTAAGTGAAAGGATGCCGGTCAAGTACATAGCTCAGTGCCAGTACGGACTTAATATCATCTACCTAACACTTAAAAATGAAATCTGATCCAATGTCCCCAAACTCTGAAAATCAGTCTTTATAAATGTCTAGCCTCAAAATCATCCACTGAAACTTGAGCCTTTTAGCTGGCCCTCATGAGACATGGAAACAGTTTTATTCCACATAATTCACTTTGAAACACTTAGGACTCTAATTAGGCACCCTCATCCATGTGGTATTAAACATTTGGTGGTCCTAGGCTCATTGAGTTAGACCAGGCAGCAAAAAATGCAAGGCTCAGATATAATAATAAAAATTAAAATAATAAATATAATAACATCTTTGCCTGTGGATGCCTTATTTCTGGAACAGGCAGTGCTGGGTACTATAGAGGTAAGAGCAATGACCATTATGTCAGAAATGCTGGATGTGAGCCCTGGCCCTTCCATGTGACTACATGAACTTGGGGAATTGGATCACTCTCTCTAAGCCTCAGTCTCCTCACCCACAAGGACCTCACCTGACCTCCCTCACTGGATCAGCATGAGAATTCAGTGAGGAGATACAAACCACCCCACACTGCTGGTGGGAGCGTCACTGGGCACCATCCTGAAGCACAATCTCAGTAGAATTAAGAACACACACACCCTCCCACCCCGCAATCCCTCTGCGAGGTGCACACCCCAAGGAGACTCTCTCCTGAGTCCATAAGGAGCCCATGTGAGCACGTTCCTCACAGGACTGTTTGTGGTGGCAGGAAGTGGGAGCTGTGCCAGCATCTGTTCCTAGAGGAATATATAAGTAAAATGTGCCGTGTGTGCACAATGAAATATGACACGGCAGTCAGAGATAATAAAGCAGATTTACAGAGAGCAACTTGGGTAGATCTCAGAAACAATGACAAGTAGGAAAAGTAAAAGCAGGATGAGGTGTACAGAACAATGCCATTTATGTACCTTTAAAAAAATAGAAAACGCTGTACATTTGTGAAGGATTCACATGCATCTATTAAAAATGTCACATCATTCCTCTGCTGAAAACCTTTTTCTATTTCCTTTTCATTCAGAGTAAAGCCAAGGTCTGCATTTACAATGGCCTACAGAGTCCTACAGCATTTGTCACTGACCCAGCTACTTCTCAGCCTTCTGTTTCTGTCTCTTCCCACACATTTCTCTCTAGTCAGTGGCCTCCTAACCTTCTGGCCTCCTAACTTACCAGGCAGGACCCTACCTCAGGGCCTTTGCACTGGCTGTCCCCTATAAAGGCACTACTTCTCACCCAGATATCCACATGGTTCTTCCCTTCACTGTATTTGGTGAAATGGAACGTTTAAAGCATGGCCTTCCTGATTCACCCCACATAACAACTGCAATCTACTCCTAACTATGCACAACAGACCTTATCCCCAGCCCTTCATTTCTCCATAGCACTTGTCACTAATTAAGGTACTGTATGTTTTACTTATTTGTTCATTATATCTCACTCCATAAGAATATAAGCTGCTTGAAAGCAGGACTTTTTAAACTGTTTGGCTCCTGACTATATTCCCCACATCTACAACTGTGCCTGACACATAGCACTGTATTTGTGGAATGGAGGAATATATCTAAATACACATATAGAGCATGGACTGGAAGAGCATTTGTTAAATACGCTAAAGCAAGTGCCTCCAGTGAGGAGGGGATATGAGAATAGAGATAAGGATGAAAGGGGAAAATAAAATGCATTGAAAAGGGGCCTGACAGGAAGCAATGGTGCAAACACACCATGACTGAGGGAGGGACTGACTCCACTCTGTGCACTGCAGGTTCAACACAGGATTGCAGGAGATAATGTTGTGAGAGCACCTGGTACAGAGCCTGATAAATGACAGGGTCTCAGTAGATTTAAACTGAAGGGGAACCGGAATCCTGTAATCACCAGGATATGGAGAATACAAAGAAAGAACCTACTAGTTCCCTCTGAACCCATTTCCCTTTTCCCAATTCTTCTCCTCCAGCCCCTTCAACTTTCCTGGAGGCTCCTGCAGTTGGCACTAAGGATGCTTCTGCCACGTTTCTCTCTCTGGGGAACCATCCCAGCAACCACCTCTCAACAGAGACACAACAGTGGTTCTTCACATTTGTTGAGTCACAGACCCACCTGAGGTTGGTCACCTCAAAAAAAGTGTCATACACTCTTCTGAAGTCCATCTATGGACCCTGAGCAGGAATCCCAGTGGAGGACCATCTGAATGGCAGTGTGGGATAAGGGTTGCATGATAATTTCTGTTTTCCTCAACTGTGTTGTGCAGGGTGGTCCTTGTGCTCT